CTGCTTTTGAAAAATTTTAACGTTGAAATTTTGTTTTTGCAATACTTATTCAGTATCGTTAATAAAGTTTTTATATTTTCTAATTTGAAAAAAAAATTTAAGTGAATTTGATAGAAAATTAATATTAAAAAAAGGTATAATTTTTAAATTTTTTCTTGAATAAAAATTTAATTGAAAAATTGATATTATATGAAATGAAAAACAATTTTTATTTGTATAAAAGTAACTTTTTAAATTTTTGGTTTTAAAATTTGACAATTGGTGTTATAAAATTATTAAAAACAGTGTATTAGCGTCATTTTATATACCATTTATTTTCTAATGTTCATTACAAAAATAAATAATCCATTTGAACGATAATAATTTTTTTCCTAATATTTACAATAGGCAGATAAATTACATATAGGCATATATTTTATATTGGACATCAGATTAAAAAAAAAATCAATTAAAATTTCGATGTACAGTTATGCATTTTACTCGTTTGTTGGTATACTCTACTGTATTTCGATAGTCTGAGGTAATTGGCAGACATAACTAGTTTCATCACATTCGATGAATATCAACTTTTCGATGACATCAGTTATGGAGATTAATATTTCTACATTACCTCTTTCTACTACTCTAAACAAATGTCGCACTAATTCGTCGCCAACAATATTTAGGTTGATTACTGACAAAAAGCAGGAGTTATCAGTCTCACAATATCTTGAACTTGAATAACACCACCTGATTTTAATTTGAAAACAGTATCATTCCTTTTTTCCGAGAGTGTATTCTTTACGCTTTTATACACGCAACCTTTGTAAATACATTTTTTAAAAGATTCTCCTGCAATAATTTCATTAGTGACAGGATTTGTAATTTGAACGGGTGAACTATTTCCACAGAAAGTTACACCATAGGTACTTTCTGAAACATAAGTTGATAACAAAGCAGAAGAAAATATTCTTTGGCAATACAATCTGGCAATTTCGGAATGAAAAATAGTTCTTGATACTTCAAATTTATATTGAAGAATGTCTAAAGATTTTGTAGCCATTTGTTGCTCTGGTTTTTTAGGGCCTAGTGCATACTGCTTGAGCACGTGCAAATGACTTTCAAAGCAAAAAGCCGAAGTTGCCCACAGTGGGCCGCAACGTCGAATACATTCAACTATGTGGAGCAAAAGATGTACATTAAAGGTCATATTTTCTTGACCATATAGATTCTCAAACTCTCCGACGAATTCTATTATATCGAGTTCGCATTGAAGTAACTCTTCTTCGGTAATTTTCGTTTTCAATAATGTAAAAATGGTATTGACTAGCAATGAGAAGTGCTGAAGGCATTCGGAAGGTAGATACTTTCTTAAACAGGGCACCCCAAAGAACAATAACCATGATCTCCACTCAGATGCTTTCCACTTTGACTTAAAATTGAATTCTCGCGCAACTCGATGAATTTCCGAAACCATTTCAATGCAACTAATTAATTTGTTAATGTTTTCTACATCGCCTTTAGACAAGAAACCATTTGCAGTCCATATTTCCCACAGATGCTTAACTGATCCTAAAAGAACGGCATGTAAATACTCAAATGAAAAGCTCCAAACCATATCAACGCGTTGATTGGAATTCATGAAACTAGAAGAACCTTTAACTCCACGGACAAAAGTACGGCGTTTATTCCTTTCGTTCATTCTGTGTGTCATATTTTGTTGGCGTTCTTTAACATCATCAACATCCTGCTTATGAGACTCTTGCGATCTAAGAAGAAAATCAGGGTCAAAGGGATATTTAATTATATGAATGTAAAAGCCCATTTGGTAACAGTAACTGCATCCCCAGTATGAGTTATATTGACATCGACACTGTAATATGGGCCTAGCAACTGAGTCAACTACTATAAACAAAAGATTTATAAGGAAATTTATACGAAGATTTCCTACCAACAAATCAACACCTTGCGTACGCAAAATATCAATCACATTTAAAAATTCTTCTGAAAAAGAATTCATTAAATCCGGGTCAGGTTCTTTATCAACCATCATAATTCCTCCTAGCATAATGTATTTAAAACGTAACGAGATTGGCAATTCGTTTATAGATGCCAAAATAGCCCAAAAGCTTTCATTACCACTTCGTTTCATGATTGCTCCATCAAAGAATACATTAAGCGTCAGAACGTTTTTAGAATTTGTGGGATTATTCGATTTATATAAGCTTCCGTCTTGAACATCTCTAATGCTACCATCATTTTCAGGGTTTTGCCTATATCTGTCAATTAAAAAAGTTTGTACATCACGAAGTTTAAACAATTGCTCTATTTGATATTTTAAATCCACCATTAACATGTATTTCCCTTTTTTGGTAGACAAATTACATCGCGACCCACATTTGTCGCACAGTCCTTCGGGGTTTACTTGTGATTTTTTGTTCTGTTGGGAAATTAATACTTTTTTACAAGCTGGACAGTAAAAAGAAAATGTTAATGTTTTTTCAGGAGCTTCAAACATGCGAGTCATTTTATAATTTGACAAATTCAGACTGTCAAACTCAGGACCTGCACACAACTTTAGTAAATTTGTTAACTCTAAACGCGCTTCTAATGAGAGTCCAAATCGTAGACTGAATCCTCTGGTCATTGCTACCACATCTCTGACTGTTAAGTTAGATTGTGGGAACATAATTCTGTTTTCCCAGGGATATGTGTAATTTGGATTTTCATTACCGTTCACTTCGTTGTCGAGAAATTCAATATCAGAATCTTCGCTACCTGAGCCCTCACTTGGTGCGTTAGATCCTGGGGCTGAATCCTCGTTCAATTCTTGATCAAAATCTTGGTTCGTTTCCATCCGCATTTCTTCGTCTCTAGGTACGTCATTAGTCGAATTTTCACCTATAGACATTTCATTGGAGCTTGTTGAAGAAGCTGATTGCAGGTCCGATTCATGTAGATCATCACTGGACTCACGTTGTACAACTAAAAAAATGAAGTTCAACATGGAATATTTTATTTAATTTAAAACAGTGTACCGAAAATCAAATTGAATTCTTTAAAAACTTCAACTATCTTTAAATTTTTCAATAGAATTTTGCAAAATTTTATTCACTCTAAAAGACTTGAAATATTTTTCGATCTTTAGTTTTTCAGATAATTATTTTTTACAGAATTTTGAATACACTTTTTATACAGAATTTTTTTAAATTTAATAATGTAAAATCATTTAATTTCATTAGACTCTTTAATGTAATAATAGGAATAATAATTACCTATTCTATTTGAAGTAGATTGCGTTGATCTTTCTAAAGCTATGGCACGTTGCCTCCAAATCGCATCAGTTTGAGCAGAAACCATACTTGGTTTATAATTCGGTCGTATAAATTTTCGGTAGGTTTTTCTTTTTCCATCTTCCTTATCTTCATCCATTTTTTCTGCTATACTAAAAATCAAATTCATTTCATAATATTTTCTTAGCAATGAATACAAGTGACAAAATCAAATGCTACATGATTATAAAAACATTTTAGATTACAATTTTTTATTTGCATAACAATTAAAAGGTCTTTCATATTAATTAATTATACTGAAAAATAAATCTAAATTTACCTTATTTTGTATATTTAAATTTACCACTTTTCAATTATTGGCAAGTAAAATTTTTATTGTGGCATTAATAATTAGAAATAAAAATGTTATTAAACATAAAAAGTGCTAATTATAATTTATCTATTTTTAAAAAAAATACTATATAGTCAAAAATTTTTTATTAAAATCTGACATTAAAATTCTAAAAAAATTGTAATAATACACAAGAAACTTAATAAATAATACAACATAGTATAATATAAACACATTTTGCAGTTATATTTGTTGATGTAAAAATATATACATACTTTTTGAGGTTAAATTTATCACATTAATATCTAAATGAAATAAGACATTTTAAATGACATACGTAATATTTAAAATTTAGAAATACATTATTATTAATTTATTTATATTAAAAATTATAATGACATGAATACATTCAGGTGTAATCGAAAGTATAAATATGAATACTTTTTAAGGTTAGGTGTGATATTTATATAAAAAACAACTACACTGTCAACTTATTTTTGTCAACAAATTAAAAAATATACTTACGATTTATTTATCAAACTTTTTATTATAATTATTGAGAATAAATTCAATATCACTTTCGATAACGATCAGCAAATTTCTTTATACATTTCAACCACATTCAACGTATAAATTTTGTATACATATTACGTATATTTATGTAAATGCTTTGATACAGTTTCTCAACTTCTGTGCAATTTATTTGATTGGTCCGTTCCACTAGTAACCTACTAAATGACCAATCAAAATTGGTCTGTAAAGATACACTAACTTTCAGGGGTGTCAAAACAAACCTGTGTCAAGTGTTCATTTATTATATTACAGAACGTCAAGAAGAATAAATATGAAAAAATTGCAGCATTAAGTAATATAAAAGTTGCAATATTAATTTATAAATTTCTGTTATTTTAGCTACTTACTACAAAAGAAAATTCTAATCGAAATTTTTGACTGCGGAAATTCACGCATAAATAAGCTTTGTGTGTGGAGTATCGCCGCCCCTGCTTAGTTTTCAAATGTTTCGACATGCGCATTACTCAAATCTTTTATTATTTTCTGCCACCGACAATAGTGCACGTGCAAAACCGGCATCATAGAAAAAATTCGAAACTGTGAATGTTTTTGTGGTTTAAAAAGTTGTACAAAAAATAAGTACTATTTCTTACGTTTACTTACCTGTGATTTCATATTTTGAAATTTTTTTCTGTAGACTTCAGAATTTCAAGGTATACTTTTGCCGAACAAGTCGATGCACGTTTTCACAATAAAAATATATGTCAATATTGTGATTATATACGCGCGTATAGTATGTAAAACAATTTTCGGTTTTTTTTTCGGAAATCACAAGTAGAAACTCTTTTTCTACTTGAATCTTGAATCAGCACAAATGTGAAAATAATACGCCAAATTCTGGGGACGATTTGTTTGTATTAAAAATTCGACAAATACATAATGTTTTTTTACGTGCAATATTTAAGTGGAAGTAGAAGAGGTACAAAAAGGTTTCTCACAGATGCTGATTTTAAAAAGCCTCCAATGGTAGAAAATGCTGATTCAGTAAATAAAAAGAAGAAATATAAAGTTGTTGGTACAGAAAACATTTTTGATAATGTTGCTATATTATTCGCTGCAGGTAAAGTATAAATATTTTTATCTATACATTCAATACGTATGTAAACAATATTGAAATGTTTTAGAAATTAACAATAATTATAGTATTATAAAAGTTATATAGTATCATAGGAAATTGTAGAACCTCGTCTTTTTTAACTATGTAAAAACCAAAAAGTGTCTAAAATTTGTAAATACTAAATTACCTCGAAGGAACTGAAAAAATTTTTAATTATTTAAATGTGTTTTTTAACAAACAAGGTTTTTCATTTCATAAAAGTCACTTTTAATTTTTCTAAATTTTTTATCTCTAAATTCTGTCACCTGCATTTCTTGAGAGATAAAGTAAGTTTAAATAAGTATAGTTTTTTTATTTTTTATTTCAAGTATTATATTTTTAAACAAAAAATATTCGATAAAAATTGAATTTAAAGAATTGTAAAAAATTCTATAACGGTACTAGCTGGTAACCTTTAGAATATTGTATGATACGTTTTCGAATACTTAAATTATTTTGTACTTAATTTGCATTTTTTGTGTTAAAAAAACGAACAAATCGACCCCTTTTGTCACAAACTTAAAAATGACGGTATTCTGTGTAAGTTATTTTACATAGATATAAAAAAGAGGAGATAATATGATTTCCGGTATTGCATAAAAACTATATTAAAATAAAAATTAAGAAAAATGTATTTTGGAGATATATGTAAACAATGAATGAAAATCCTATTCTAGACAACCTAGGAGTACTACAAAGAATTGTAGCAAATAGTAGACCACGATTCAATAATAAACTTTTGGATTCAGCATCCTCATCGTCGGAAGCACCTTCAACTAGTGGCAAATTTAAGGTAATTAAATAGAAAGAAAGACATACTTAACAATGTCTTATTTTATAAATGAGCGACTAATTTCCAAAAAAACTGATTTCGTACGTCCTCAAGATTTTCTAAATAATTATAACCATTTAAGAAAATATCAAGTCATATTTAATTATTATTATTTTTTCTAAACATCGTGCATGGAAAAGTTGTACAATGTTATTGTTTAATCAGATTTTTATTAATTTAACACCCTAAAAATTGATCGCATTTTTGTAAGCATAAATTTCTCTTTTACAAACATGATAGGGCATTCCAAGTGTGAGAAAAATTATTTGATAATTAGATGAAATTAAAAAATGTTGAAATCATCATTTCCGTTATTCCTCTGAATAAAAATTAAAAATTAATATTGATTGTCGATTGTTTACAAACTGTTAGTGAAAAGTCAATTTAAAAATTTTTAAAGTAATTTTTTATGATTAAAAAAAATTTATTCTGGTTAGTGTTTCGAAATAAAAAAAATCAATTACTTGTTAATTTAAACTGGCCTTATTTTTTAAATTGAAAAAATTTGATTATTTTGATATTTTATTCAAATTAAAATCACGTGAAGTTTGTTCTTTATTCGAAAAAAAGTACCTGCAATCATTTTTAAGCTATTATTTTTCTGTGAATTTTGATTTTAAATCTTTTCTTCAATTGGAGTCGTGCACATACCACGTGAACAATTTTTAATGACTTTTTGACCACCCCCCTCCCCCCTCGTGGACAATCGTGAACTTTTGATGAACCCCCCTTCCCCCAAAAATGTCCACGTGGTATGCGCACGACCCCTTAAAAGATAAAAATAAGCATGATGAAGTTACAGAGACGTTAAATTTTTCAAAGCTTAATATTACTTAATGTTTTGAAGCTTAAATAATTAATTTTGTTTTTTCTTTTTTCATACTTGTAAAAAGGAGTTTTTTTGGAGAATCACCCAAATGCAGTATTATGTTTATAACATTTTTTTACTTTTTCTAACTATATTAATTTTTTTATGTTTCAATTACATTACAGGATAGGATTTATATTGTTTAGGCAAATTATTTTTATATTGAAAAATATCAATAATTGTAAATACAGTACCGTCCGCAATTGTCAGTCCACCCATTTTTAAAGGAATGACAAAAATTTTTTAACATAAAATTCATGAAAACTAAAATTTTTTTTGGTTTATATTTTGAAAGACGATAATATTTTGAAAAGAATAAGACCTTACAGAAGTCATTTGGCCAAAATTTGTAGAAGATATTCCTAAAAATCGTCATTTTCAATGTTTTACAAAAATTTAAATAACTTCTAAAATAATGAACGCTTTTTAATAATCTTAGGCTTATTTTAAAGGTCTTTTTCTACGGAATAAGAATTACTTATAGGCATTAACCTGTCATTTTTAACTTGGAATAAGCATGACGTCAAAATTAGACAAAAAAATTGGAAAAATTTGAAATCAATTTTTTGTACTAAAAACTATTCTAGAACATATATAAAACATGATATGGTGTAGATTTTTCAAGAAAATTTAATAAAAATATATGTTTGAGTTTCAAAAATTATTTTTCTTTTAATAATATTATTTCAAATTTTTTGAATTTTTTTGTCCAACTTTGACGTCATGCTTACTCCAAGTTAAAAATTACAGGTTAATGCCTATAAGTAATTCTTATTCTGTAGAAAATGGTCTTTAAAATAAGCCTAAGATTATTAAAAAGCGTTCATTATTTTAGAAGTTATTCAAATTTTTGTAAAACATTGAAAATGACGATTTTTAAGAATATCTTCTACAAATTTTGGCCAAATGACTTCTGTAAGGTCTTATTCTTTTTAAAATTTTATCGTCTTTCAAAATAAAAACCAAAAAAAATTTTACTTTTTATGAATTTTATGTTAAAAAATTTTTGTCATTCCTTTGAAAATGGGTGGACTGACAATTTCGGACGGTACTGTATATTGCCTGTTTTATTTATTATGTTTTCTTTCACTTAATAGAAAAGTGCTCAAGTTGCCAGAGCTGCGGAAATTAAAAAGCAAATTGCTGATAAACAAAATGCACTGCGTTCAAAGCAAAATATCATTGATTTAGGAAGCCCGTCCTCAAGTTCCAAAAATCAAAATGACCAATTACCGTCAAAAAAAACCTCGGAAATTAAAAAGCAAATTGCTGATAAACAAGACGAATTGCGTTCAAAACCAAAAAATATTGATTCAGGAAACCCGTCCTCAAGTTCCGAAAATCAAAATGACCAATTACCGTCAAGAAAAACCTCTGTTGAAAAATCAAAGATTGATCATAGCTCGTCCATACCACAAACAATCAAGGAACCAGTTCTCATGTCTCCATTAATGGATGTGAGTGACTTTATTCCTCAAGAAACTAATTTTTCTATTGGAAACGAAATTCTGACAGCGGACGCAAATGTAGTTTGCAATAATTTATCTTGCAATTTACGAATTTTTAATAACGAACAAACAGTTAACAATGTAACTAAGCTTTTGGAGCAACAGTTGAGAATAGTAGAAGAACAACGCATTGAGATACAACATTTAAATGAAAATATCAAAGAGTTAAATGAGAAATTGCAGCAAAAAGGCGACGAATTTCAAGGTATACATATCGTAATAAACAAAAGTTATTTTTTACTCAAAGAGAGTAAATTAAAAATTCTTTTACCTTATCCAGGGTGTCTAGCGACTCGGAAAATCAGGAAAAACGCGGGAATTTTTCTTCAAATCCGTGAATTTTCTATTTTTTGAGGTATTTTTGATATTGCTTAAGAAACTATATTTTTTAACCCTTTTCGACACTTTGTTTAAAATTAAACATGTTTTTGACTTCTTTCCAAAATCAGTATTTTTTGTTTGTTTTTTTGTTTTTTTAGTGAAGTTTTTGTTGAAGGTATTCTTTTAAGATTTCCTATCAAAAAAACCGTCACGGAATCCTCTTGTAGATTTGGGTAAATCCTCAAGGATTATTTTTTTAATTTTATCAAATTTCCTCGAGAAATGTCCGAGGATTTTTTTTATTTTATCAATTTCCTCGAGGATTTTTTTTATTAATTAATTAATTTTTATTAATTTTTGTCAAGGAATTTTTATTACTGCTTGTGGAAAATAGTTTAAAAATAAAAAAATCTTCGAGAAATTTTTGAGGAAAATTTAAAAAATATAAAAAATCCTTGAGAATTTCTCGAGGAAATTTGATAAAATGAAACAAAATCCTCCAGGATTCCTCAATAACAATTAATAGAATGAAAATTTTTTTTAAGGATTTCTCGAGGATACTTAATAAAATGCAAAAAAATCTTTAATGAAAATTGATAGAGTAAAAAAAATCCTTAGGGATTTCTCTAAAAAAAATTCAGAAAATGAAACAAATAATCCTTGAGGATTCCTCAAGAAAAATTGTTAAAATGAAAAAAAAAACTCGAGGATTACTCTAGAAAAATGAAAAAAAAATCAAATCCTCAAGAATTTACCATATCTACACGAGAATTCTGCGTAGAAATCCGCGCAGATTTTTTTGATAGTGTTTATTAAAATAAAAAAAATTTTTTCAAAATGATGCTGCTTTTTAAAAAAAGTTAATAATATTTTTTGTTTCTTAAAAATGTCAAAATTTTTAATTTTTTGAAAAAATTTGTTTACCATTCGGAAGAATAAGAAAAAGTTTCTTGAAATCAAATGTTTATTTAAATACATTTTTATATAGTTAAAAAAATTACACTTTATTAAACCCTTATTAACTTAGTTTAAAATTGTCCGGGAAAATCACTTCAAAACCCGGGAGAAAACACGGTAATTTGGAACTGCAAATTGCTAGACACCCTGTTATTATTAAAATTATTCTAAGCTCCTTCTGAGATTAAGGTAAATGAAATAATAAAATACTAAAAATTAAATCCAAATGGTAAAAAATGTGTTAGAAAGTGGGAATTTTATATTTACACGTATTTAAAATATAATTATCTATTCTTATTTTAGCTTTTATTGACTCTAAGAAAATATAAAATTTTATTTTAGCAACGTTGCTCAAGGACAATAACTCTACCACTCTCCGTTCTCCATATCCTCCTTCTGGATTTTTGCGAGCGTCAGATGATCACGTAAATTTTTAAGTCAAATTCAAAACATCAATTACATATTATAGTTTTATTGATTTAATAAAATATTTTCTGTTAGATCCATCTTGGTAAAGGAATTTGGCTGCCAAAAGTAAAGTACAATGAAGCTTGTAACGCAGACTCACCCTCTCTTTTTGTAAAAATGATGTGTGACATGCTATTCACACCTGAAGAACTTAAAGAATCTACACTCACAGGAAAACCTAGTAACAGGCAAAAAAAATCTCCGAGGAATCCAAAAAAATTGGATGCAACTAAAGTTTTAAGCATCAAAGGTATATTTACTTTTTTTCTTTATATAATTTATTAGTTTTTCAAATTAAATAATATACTCTACAAAATGAATCAGTAAAAATTAAAAGGAAGTATACTAATATAATAATAATAATTTCATAACATTAATTTCAAGTAGATTTCGTAAAAATTTTTTTGTAGTTTTGTAATTTTTTTAAATTAAACTTTAAACTTTAAGGTATTAGTCGCGTAAAATGGTTTTCGTCAGATTTTTTTCAAATTTTGCATACTTATTCCTGAAGTATTTATCTACAGAATGAGACCAATTTAATTAATTTTGACCGTTTCAAAGCTTCAAAAAATGAATTCAAAGTTCATACATTTTGCATGGAGGGAGCACCAAATGCATGCATTAATTTTGTTTAATAATTATATTTATATGATAACTAATCGTCAGATTTTGAAATAAAACTACCAAAGTATTCAATTAGATGAAACAAACGAATAGAAAAAACATGACATTTTTTGACTGCACCAAACTATAAATATATTGATAAAAAGGTAAAAAAATAACTAAATTATACGAATTTTCATACAAATGAATAGAGTGGGGAGTTAAACTATCTCTCTCACTCTCACTGCCCCACTCTAGTAAGCAGCCCGGTAAACTTTTGGCCAGAGCCAGCAGCGCGACTACTACCTTAATAGTTATTTTTCTAAATTATTATTATTATTATTATTATTATTATTATTATTATTATTATTTCAGTAAATGTTTTTTTTTATTTTTAATTCAAATTTTTTTTAACCTTAAATAATTTCTAGAATTAATTTTTCATAGTCTATCTGAATACATAAAATAAAAAGGTTTTTTTTAAACTTACAACACATTTTCGACGTATATTTATAATTATTTATAAGGATCTGTAATTTTAGAAATAACAAGACACTGGTTGGAAACTTGTGTGCATTATTCTGATAAACTTGTGGACATAGAAGTGGAAAGTGTAAAAAAATACATTGGTGCAAAAATTGCAGATTTGAATCGACCTTTGATTCCAAGTAAGTTTTCCTGTTGGGTTTATTATAAAAGCTGAATATTAAATTAAAGCATATTTCTTTTGAAACTAACATAAATATAAAAAATATATATCTCAAACAAGACATCAGGTAATAATTTAAATCATTTATTCATATTTTATTTAAAATAATAAAAACTGCAATGTTAAGTAAATGAACTCGTAAAAAATCTTTACCGATTTATTTGTGGAGCAAATTTTCAAAAGTTGGTAAATCCATTTTCCAAAAAAATTGAGATAAACACAGATTTAACAAATTAAGGACCTCACAAATCGATTTGTCACTGTTGAAGTTAAGAGAACAATTTTTTAAACCAAGAATTTTCAATTTAAAAACATTTGGACTTAACCTACATGATTTTTATTTTCAACACTTTTTTTTAGAAAAAAGTATCAAAACCTTTAATTAACCTTAAAATAATAGACATTTATTAAATACAAAACGTTTTAAATTCAAAAAACATTCCTACAGAAATAATTAATTACAATTTTTTTATCTTGAAATTAATTTTAGTGGTTATGTGAAAAATGACATTTCTTTAAATTTCTCGAAAAAACAAAAAATGGATTTATCAACTTTGGAAAACTTGCTCCTCATTTATTAATTTTTTTTTGAGTTAAATGTTTTAAATAAAAATGTAATGTTTCTTTTAATTGTAGAAAGTTAAAGTTTATAATCAACAATATAAAATGTATATATTTATATTACTATTTTGCTTTAATTTTTTATAATTTCTTATCAAAAATTTGATACAGAAAAATTCTTAGACAAAAATATTATATTTTGACTATCTGAAAAATTTTTGTATAAATCGTTTTTGATAAATTAAAAAAAATATTTAAAAACTTTTCTAACACAGATTTCTAAAAATATTTTAATTTATAAAATATATTTCCAGAAATGTAGTCGTGAAAATAGTTATTTTTAATTTTTAATGATATTGACAAAACATAACAATAGTTACACATTTTTAAGCTCACATTGTTTAGATTTATTTTTCTAATAAATATTTATTTTCTAAGCAATGAACATTTCATACGTTTGCAGAACAAAAGTCAAAGAAAAAAAAGAGTAATAATCATGTTGATCATGAAGAATCATCTGATATTCTAAAAGAAGAAATCATAGATTTAGACTCGGATTTGGATAATCTTCCATCAAGCGAAAGTGATGACAAGGAGGAGACAGACAATGAGATGGAAGATGAGCTAGACATTGAGAATCCTGGTGCATCCAAAATGGCAAACTTCGACGAGAAATTAGGATACATTGGAGATTTAGCAAAAGATTCTTAAACATGTTTTCTCGTAAACACTTTATAAAGCTTTTATATTCTTCACCGTCATTATTTATTCGTGTGCAGTAAATGCGTCTTAATTATTTATCGATATGTTTTTAAATATAATATAATTTTTATACCTACATTTATATTGATTTTCATTTTTTTCTAATTTGAAAAATTAATTACAAATGTAGTGGCAGATATCACTTTTAATTTTCCAAAATGTTAATTTACTTTAATTTTTTTAATTATGCATTTCTAAAATGTATTATTATGAAAAAGGTAAATAAACATTTTTGAATTTTTCCCGCCGATAAAAGTGCTGTCACTGCATTAACAAAAACCTATTATTCAATTGAGAACGATTGGGAACGATTGGCGACCACCAACTTATGAATCGGTTTCAATCGGGTCGACCCAATTAAGAAACACAATTCAAATCGATAGAAATTTTTGTTCTATTGTTTTCAATCGATTTCAACCAATTATTTCTAGAAGGGGCTGCTACTTACACATGCGCAGTAATGCTAATTGAGAAAAAGAGATGCGCACTATATCGGACTCTTTTGCAAACGTGATCAGCAGACATATTTTAAGCAAGACATGCGCAGTAAATATACAAAACAGAAAAGTTGCGTTGCTTCTTTACTTGAAACAGACTCATGCGCAGTTAATGAATATGCAACCAATACATGCGCAGTAATGCTGATTGAGAAAAAGAGATGCGCACTTCATCCGACTCTTTTGCAAACGTGATCAGCAGACATATTTGAAGCAAGACATGCGCAGTAAATATACAAAACAGAAAAGTTGCGTTGCTTCTTTAATTGAAACAAACTCATGCGCAGTTGATAAATATGCAACCAATACATGCGCAGTAATGCTGATTGAGAAAAAGAGATGCGCACATCATCGGACTCTTTGCAAACGAGATCAGTTGACATATCTAAAACAAGACATGAGCAGTAAATATACAAAAGAGAAAAGTTTCGTTGTTTCTTTTATTAAAAGAGAAGCATACGCTGTTTTTTTGATTGAAACAGATATATGCGCAGTAGATAATTCTGAAACTAATGTATGCACATGAAATCATATCTGCAAGATTAGGCATTATCAAAAACATTCAAAAAGTAACTGACAAAAATCGCTAAAGATGTTATATATTGAAATTTAGCTAAAAAGTATTTGCTAATGTTTAAATTGTATCAATAAAGTTAGATGCATAGTTTGGGGACCAGCATAAAATCAGAGTTTTTAAGCTAAAAATATCTTTGTGAAAAATTTAAACCCTTCTATAAACTAGCTAATAAACAAAGTAAGAAATTTTATAAATTGCAATTTAGCTAAAAAGTATTTTGTAATGTTTAAATTGTATTAAAAAGTTACATGCATAGTTTAGGGACCTGCATCAAATCAGAGTTTTTAAGTTAAAAATATGTTTCTAAAATATTTAATTCCTCTTTTCAACTAACTAACAAATAACGTAAGAAATGTAATAGATTGCAATTTAGCTAAAAAGTATTTGTAAATATTTAAATATTATCTAAAATTTATATCCATAGTTTGGGGACCTGCATCAAATCAGAGTTTTTAGGCTAAAAATATCTTAGATAAACATTTGAATCCTGTCATCAACTAACTAATAAATATAGTAAGAAATAATAGATTGCAATTTAGCTTAAAAGTATTTTGTAATGTTTAAATTGTATTAAAAAAGTTAGATGCATACTTTAGGGACCTGCTTCAAATCAGAGTTTTTAAGCTAAAAATATCTTACATAAACATTTAAACCCTGTCATCAACTAACTAATAAATAAATTAAGAAATTTTATAGATTTTAAATTAGATAAAAAGTATTTCCTAATGTTTAAATTGTATTAAAAAAGTTAGATGCATAGTTTGGGGACATGCATCAAATCAGCGTTTTTAAGCTAAAAATATCTTATATAAACATTTAAACCCTGTCATCAACTAACTAATAAATAAAGTAAAAAATGATATAGATTGCTATTTAGCAAAAAAGTATTTGCTATTGTTTAAATTGTATTAAAAAACTTAGATGCATAATTTGGGGTCCTGCATCAAATCTGAGTTTTTAAGCTAAAAATACATTTGTTAAATATTTAAACCCTCTTATCAACTAACTAATAAATAAAGTAAGAAATGATTGATTGCAAATTAAAATAAAAAGTATTTGCTAATGTTTAAATTGTATTAAAAAATCTAGATGCATAGTTTGGGAACCTGCATCAAATCGAAGTTTTTAAGCTAAAAATATATTTGTTAAATATTTAAACCCTCTTATCAACTAACTAATAAATAAAGTAAGAAATGTTATAGATTGCAAATTAGATAAAAAGTATTTGCTAATGTTTAAATTGTATTAAAAAAGTAAGATGCATAGTTTGGGGACCTGAATCAATTCAGTGTATTTAAGCTAAAAATATCTTCCTAAAACATTTAATCCCTCTTTTCAAGAAACTAATAAATAAAGTAAGAAATGTTATAGTTTGCAATTTAGATGAAAAGTATTTGCAAATGTTTAAATTGTATTAAAAAGTTAGATGCATAGTTTGGGGACCTGCATCAAATCAGAGTTTTTAAGCTAAAAATACCTTAGATAAACATTTAAAACCTGTCATCAACTGACTAATAAATAAAGTAAGAAATGATATAGATTGCTATTTAGCAAAAAAGTATTTGCTATTGTTTAAATTGTATTAAAAGACTTAGATGCATACTTTGGGAAACCCGCATCAAATTAGAGTTTTTAAGCTACAAATATATTTTTGTAAAAAATTTGAACCCTCCTATCAACTAACTATTAAATAAAGTAAGAAATGTTATAGATTGCAATTTAGCTAAAAAGTATAAGCTAAAGTTTAAATTTTATTAATAAACTTAGATGCATAGTTTGGGGACCTGCGTCAAATCAAAGTTTTTAAGCTAAAAATATCTTAGATAAACATTAAAACCCTGTCATTAACTGACTAATAAATAAAGTAAGAAATGATATAGATTGCTATTTAGCAAAAAAGTATTTGCTATTGTTTAAATTGTATTAAAAAACTTAGATGCATAGTTTGGGGACCTGCATCAAATCGGAGTTTTTAAGCTAAAAATATATTTGTTAATTATTTGAACCCTGTCATCAACTGACTAATAAATAAAGTAAGAAATGATATAGATTGCAAATTAGCTAAAAAGTATTTGCTATTGTTTAAATTGTATTAAAAAACTTAGATGCATAGTTTGGGGACCTGCATCAAATCGGAGTTTTTTAGCGAAGAATATATTTGTTAAATATTTGAACCCTCTTATCAACTAACTAATAAATAAAATAAGAAATGTTATAGATTGCAATTTAGCTAAAAAGTATTTGCTAAAGTTCAAATTTTATTAATAAACTTAGATGCATAGTTTGGGGACCTGCATCAAATCGGAGTTTTTAAGCGAAGAATATATTTGTTAAATATTTGAACCCTCTTATCAACTAACTAATAAATAAAGTAAGAAATGTTATAGACAGCAAATTAGCTAAAAAGTATGTGCTAAAGTTAAAATTTTATTAATAAACTTAGATGCATAGTTCGGGGACCTGCATCAAATCGGAGTTTTTAAGCTTAAAATATATTTAATAAATATTTGAACCTACTTATCAACTAACTAATAAATAAACTAAGAAATGTTATAGATTGCAATTAAGCTAAAAAGTATTTGCTAAAGTTCAAATTTTATTTAATAAACTTAGATGCATAGTTTGGGGACCTGCGTCAAATCGGAGTTTTTTAGCGAAGAATATATTTGTTAAATATTTGAACCCTTTTATCAACTAACTAATAAATAAAATAAGAAATGTTATAGATTGCAATTAAGCTAAAAAGTATTCACTAAAGTTCAAATCTTATTAATAAACTCAGATGCATAGTTTGGGGACCTCCATCAAATCAGAGTTTTTAAGCTAAAAATATCTTAGATAAACATTTAAACCCTGTCATCAACTGACTAATAAATAAAGTAAGAAATGATATACATTGCTATTTAGCAAAAAAGTATTTGCTATTGTTTAAATTGTATTAAAAAACTTAGATGCATAGTTTGGGGACCTACATCAAATCGGAGTTTTTAAGCTTAAAATATATTTAATAAATATTTGAACCTACTTATCAACTAACTAATAAATAAAGTAAGAAATGTTATAGATTGCAATTTAGCTGAAAAGTATTTGCTAAAATTCAATTTTTTTTAATAAACTTAGATGCATAGTTTGGGGACCTGCATAAAATCGGAGTTTTTAAGCGAAGAATATATTTGTGAAATATTTGAACCCTTTTATCAACTAACTAATAAATAAATTAAGAAATGATATACATTGCTATTTAGCAAAAAAGTATTTGGTAAAGTTCAAATTTTATTAATAAACTTAGATGCATAGTTTGGGGACCTGCATCAAATCGGAGTTTTTAAGCGAAGAATATATTTGTTAAATATTTGAACCCTCTTATCAACTAACTAATAAATAAAGTAAAAAATGTTATTGATTGCAAATTAGCTATAAAGTATTTGCTATTGTTTAAATTGTATTAAAAATGCTAGATGCATAGTTTAGGGACCTGCATCATATCAGAGTTTTTAAGCTAAAAATATAATTGTTAAATATTTGAACCCTCTTATCAACTAACTAATAAATAAAGTAAGAAATGTTATAGACTGCAAATTAGCTAAAAAGTATGTGCTAAAGTTTAAATTTTATTAATAAACTTAGATGCATAGTTTTGGGACCTGCATCAAATCAGAGTTTTTAAGCTAAAAATACCTTAGATAAACATTTAAACCCTGTCATCAACTGACTAATAAATAAAGTAAGAAATGATATAGATTGCTATTTAGCTAAAAAGTATTTGCTATTGTTTAAATTGTATTAAAAAACTTAGATGCATAGTTTGGGGACCTGCATGAAATCAGAGTTTTTAAGCTAAACAGATAAACATTTAAACCCTGTCATCAACTGACTAATAAATAAAGTAAGAAATGATATAGATTGCTAT